AGAGACGCAGCGAGAGAGGGAACACAAGCAGGGGGAGTGGGAGAGGGAGAAGCAGGCCTCCCGCCGAGCAGGGAGCCCGATGCAGGGCTCGATCCCAGGACCCCGGGATCATGACCTGAGCTGAAGGCAGATGCTTAATGACTGATGTACAAAGCGCAGCCTTAGCGACAAAGTAACTTAGTGTGATGGAGAATAAGAAAAGGTTTGAAACAGAATTGCAAAATTCATATTCCCCAGCTTCTGTCTTTAATTTGTAAATTGTTAATACTCATGCCCATTTCACAGAGAGGCTGGAAGAATTAGGAAATGGCAGGTCTAACGTGTGCTGGGGCGTAGTATTTGACACACAGTTGGCACTCAAATGCTGCTTCTCTTCCTCAACTTCGTTCTTCAGAGGTGCACTGAAAAGTAGGAAAAAAAAGTAGGAAATCAATCCTGCCTTCAGTAAGTTTATAATGTAAAAATATGAGACTGGTGCGCAGCCGGCTGCGCTCAGAGGGCAGCTTTATAATGTAAAAAAAAAAAAAACAAAAAAAAGTGGCAGCCAGTCTGTTGGGAGCATTTCCTTTACTATCCAAGTACTTGTCCTTAAATGTTTGTTTGTGGTCATCACTCACCCTGGATCTAAGGGAAGAGGGGTCAGTGCACCCTCAACTCTGTCCCTCATTGGGACTTGTGTCTTAAAAACTTGTGTGTGGTTTCTCTGCAATGCGCCTCATCTAATAGTTACTTTGTGCAAAGACATTCATGAAATGTTTAATCAGAGAAGAGAAAATCTTGCTTGTTTGCTTGCAACATAAACGCACTTTTTCTTAAAACGCCCATTTTAAAAGAGTTGTTTGGGAATAATTTCATGGGAGGAAAGAAACTTGATAAAAGAGCTAAAACAAAAAGAAGGTTGTCTTTGTGAATATCCAAAATCAACCACCATTTAGCATTCATGTAATAATGAGAAACAGAAATAAATGTAGCACTTTGTGTTTTTTTTTTAAATGTTAAATACAAGAGTGATGATACATTTTAAAACATTGGTGAGAGGGGGAGGCAAAATAAGAAATGAGTTGAAACAACATTTCTTAGCCTAATTTTTATGGTTCATCCTTAAGTTTTCAGCTGGTGGTGATACTCTTTGACTTTTTCAGGCATTGGAGGTGATCCTTTTAATGGCACAGATTTTATTGACTGCCTTGAAATCTTTCTGAATGATCCAGCCACAGAAGGCATCATATTGATTGGTGAAATTGGTGGTAATGCAGAAGAAAATGCTGCAGAATTTTTGAAGCAACATAATTCAGTAAGTTTGGGTTTGGGTTTGGAAAAGTACAGCTCTTCACATACAATAGGCACTTCCTGAGTCAGTCACTGCTGTGCTACTGTTGAATCTTCCTCTCCTGACATTGCCTCCGTTCCTTCTTCATCCTCTCTATCCTCTTGGTTTTTCTCCTGTTTCTTCTCATCTTAATTTTCCCCTGGATTTACTTTCTGTGGCCTGTTCCTTAAGTGTGAGTGATTCTTGGATATAAACATCATACTTCATGTAGTTTCCAAGGCAGAAACCTCAGAAGCATCTTTTACTTCTGTCTCATCACCTGTTTCCACTCAGTTACCAAGATCTGTCCTCAGTAGTATGTGGAGATTCAGAGCGTCGTCTGTAATTCGTCCCTCTGCTCTGGTTTGAGCTGCCGTCTTCTCTCCCCTGGACCATGTCAGTAGTTTCTTCTTGATAATCTCTACTCCCGTTCCTCAGCCACCACCCCCTCCTTCTCTCTCAGGCCATCCTGCTCACGGCCACCCAGATCACCTGCCCTTCTGAAACACAGACATGGGCACCTCATACCCCCTAGTTTTAGACCATAACAGTTTCCCATTACATGTAGGATAAAGTGTGGACTTAGCATCATATTCCAGTCCCTACACACCTCCCTAACCCTCTGCACATCCATGTCTGACTTGCCAGTTGTTCTCATTCTCACTTGCCTTTGCTTATTCCTTCTTCGAGGCATGCTTAATATCCACCTCTCGCTCTAGTCTGTATCATGGACAACAGGAACTGGTACCTTGGTGCCCAGACCAGTCACCTTGCACATTAGACACCAGTAAATGGTGGATAAGGAAAGGATAATGTAGATCGTCAGAAGTTTGGGGTAAAATGTTACTAGAGTCTGTTAAATTCAGAAAAGTTGTAAAGTTTGAAATGTAAGTAAAAATTGACTTCTTTTTAGGAAAGATTTAGGTTAATGTGACATTATGCTATGTTTCAAGTGAATTTTAAAATGTATTTAGGCCCAACTCTGGATCCCTTGAATAGCTTAGAATTTAGTGGGGAAAGCTAAGTATATACATTTTATTTCATTTGGCACATGATTTCCTATTCCTGGTTAGTTCTTATCGGATGAATTTTTATTAAGAACCTACTGTGTACAAGATTCTAGGTTGAACAGATGACATAAAACACTTAGCACAGTACCTGGCACAGAGTGAAAACTCAGTAATGTTATCTGCTGCCACCATTACTATTTTTATTATTATTATCATTATAATGACAATACTTATTTGTAAAAGTGGTGTTGTCTAATCTTGACTCTTTGAGTAAGATGCTTTTGTCCTTTTATGAATAAGGCGACTGGCACAGAGAGGTTACTAACTTGCCAGTGGTAGGTATACAGCAAATGAACTAAGGGTGGGATCCATCCCAGGTCGGCCCGACGTCTCCATTGCACCATGGAGGGAGCAGGAGTCGGATGGCAGGGGTTCAGGAAAAGGGTCACCAGCCCTGGGCCTCTGCTCGGACTATACTGACATCATCCTAACTGGTCTGTTTCTCATCATTTCTGTATCCTATTTTCAGACCATACTTCTTCATAGTCTTTTTCATTGTATTTTTCTCTGCTTAAAAAATTTCAAGTGACTCTTCTTTGTTAATAGGACAGAATATAAACTTCTCTGACATTCTAGGTTCATCAAAATCTTATTTCCTTCTAGTGCAGTATTCCTTTTCTGAGTATGGAGACAGAGAGGGACAAGTAGAAATTAGTACCACTTAAATATGACATGCTCCTAACTCTCCAGGGCCCATGAGTGAATGAATAAGTGACTTGTAGAGTTTTTTCTTTTTAATTCTGTACACAGTAGGTGCTGGGCATACAGAAATAAGTGAGAACATAGTTCCTGTGTTTAGGGAATTCATAGTTTAGGAGGGGAACACACGGGAAGTAAGTTACAGCTGCTGTACTTAGTGTAGTAGTAGGAACTTGTCAAAGGCACAGCTCTGACGTCACTGAACAGAAGATGATCCACCACGAGGGCATTTGTGGAGACTGTGGGAGGAAGAGTCAGAAAGGCTTATGGGGGAAGAGGAGGCTTGAGCTAGGTTTCAAAGTTAAGTAGAAATTGGCCAGGTGTCCAAGGAGGGTGGGGAACATTCTCTGCAGAGGAACAGGCGGAGCAGCCTGGAATTACTGGAAGACAAGAGCAGGAGGAATGGTGGGAGATGAGGCTGGGGTAAGCAGTGTCAGACCACGCAGACCCTGGCATGCTGGCCCCGTAACACAGGTCTGGGCAGTGGAAGCAACTGTTCTAGATCATTCGCTGGCACATACTGTTAGAAAAACCAAACCAAACCAAAATCCTTTAAGACTGTCCTTGATGAAGCAGTAAAAAGTATTAATTTTATTAAATCCTGACCCATGAGTCAGTGTTTTGTGATGAAGTGGGAAGTAAAGCATCTTCCCAGTTGAGTAGCGAGCTGAACTAGCTGCTTTTTTTTTTTTTATGGAACACTAATTTTACTCTCAAGAACGATTGGCAGACAAACTGGTTGTTCAGACTGGGGTATTTGGCAGACCTTTTCTCAGAAATGAACAGAGTGAACCTGCCATAGCAAGGAAAACAACTCACAGTATTTGTTGACAGTGATAAAATTTGAGCTTTCAAGTGAATATTCCTATTTTGGGAAAGTTGTTTCTGCCACTGAGCTTGATCACTTCCTCCTACTAAAGACTTTGATTAAACCTGATAATGATGACTATGATTTGTTGATACTGAATAATGAAATGTATCAGCATTAGAAGATATACATAACTCAGTAACCTATATTTTTCATCTGACCAATGAATGTTACAAAATTATTATAGGTGAAAGATCCATTCAATGGATTTTAAAGTAACAAAGGACAGAAAGTTCATTGCTATGGTTTCAGATTCCAACATTGCAACTAACCTTTAAGAAATTACCACTTGAAGAGGTTGGTGTAGTATCAAAGAAGAATATCCACAATTATCTGACAGGTTATTAAAATTCTTCCCCTTTTCCAACCATGTATGTGTGTGAGCCCAGATTTTCTCTTGGTTCAGCCAAAATAACATATTGTAATAGATTGAATGCAAAAGCAGATACCAGAATCCATTTGCCTTTTGTTACATTTGACATTCAGGAGTTACAAAAATGTAAAATAACACCACACTTCTTACTAGAATGTTTTTTAAAATAGTTTTTAAGTTTTTATTTTTAAATGAATGCTTACATAATTTCTTAGTTTTCATTTCTAATACAGGAAATATCAGATATGATCTACATAAAGAATAGTTCTTTGGGATTCTCAATCATTTTTGTGAGTGTAAGGGGTTCTAAGACCAAGTGATTTGAGAATTGCTGGCTGAGGGGAAGGTGATGGTGCCTGAGTGAAGGCACTCAGGTTCCATTTGTGTTCAAGTTCTGCTTTGTACAGGCCTCTCTGGATACCTTGCTGCCTCTGGACTCCTATGATGAACATGATATTTTCATTCACTGTGAAATTTAGCCATATATTCAAAAAACTTTTTGGTATTTCTTTTTTTTAAAGATTTTATTTATTTATTTGAGAGAGAGGATGAGAGGAGAGAGAGAGCACATGAGAGGGGGGAGGGTCAGAGGGAGAAGTAGACTTCCCGCCGAGCAGGGAGCCCGATGCGGGACTCGATCCAGGGACTCCAGGATCGTGACCTGAGCCGAAGGCAGTCGCTTAACCGACTGAGCCACCTGGGCGCCCCTTTTTTGGTATTTCTTAACTAATCGATAATATATTATTTCTTTGACTGTATTTTAAGTCTAGAGCACAGGAATCCTTATATTTCCTATGTGGATTTTTATTTTTAACCTCAGAATCTAGTACAGTGCTCTTTATCTACATAGACGTTGTGTATTAGAATGGATTTTTATTAAATAAAACCAGTCCTGATCTTCCTTAGACTTCACAGAACTTCAGAGGAGAAAGGACCCTTGGCCATCATTCTGGTTTAGCTATTTCATTTCATAGATGAGGAATCAGAGGTTTACAGAGCTGATGTGCCTTGACAAGGTCAACTTTAGCCAACAGAAGATTGAATCTGGCGACTTCCAGTCCTGCGACTTGCAGTCCTGCATCTTTTCCAATATACCTTCCCACCTCACCTTTTCCTTCTAGCATATTTATTATAGGTAAACTAATAATGAATTAAGACATAAAATCAGGTTGAAATAAAACAACCTCATCTAGTGTCTTAATTCAGTATTATCACAAATTACATAACATATGTTTTCAAGTGTGCTTTTCTTTGTCAAACAGGAGAACCACACATATATTTGTAAAATAGCTTGTGGCCAGTGAAGTTGACGTTTAATATCTAAATAGACAAAAACTTTGCTCAGGATTGTTTTCCCGAGTTCGTATGAAAAGCTGAGTCATCTCAAAGGTGAATGCAGTCAGTGGTTTCAATTATAGCTTCACGTGTGTGTTGATTTTCTCAGTGGGGATGAGTGGTGGGCCCTGCCCAGGCCATTTGGCATTTCCCTTCGGAGCTGTGAATTTGGAAGTCCAGTTTTGGGCAACTTCTTCATTAGAATGTTTAAAATACCACTTTCCAGGGTCCCAAGGCCAAGCCTGTGGTGTCCTTCATCGCTGGTTTAACTGCTCCTCCTGGCAGGAGAATGGGTCACGCAGGGGCGATTATTGCTGGAGGAAAAGGTGGAGCCAAAGAGAAGATCTCGGCCCTGCAGAGTGCGGGAGTTGTGGTCAGCATGTCTCCTGCCCAGCTGGGAACCACCATCTACAAGGTGAGCTGTAATAGTGGCCCGAGTGCTCTGAAGTTACAGTCCTTGTAGCGCGGGGCCACACTGGGTGCCCAGAAACCCTCGTCCTTTATTCTGGGTCTTACTGTTTTCTTTCTTTCTGCTGTGCAGCTTAGCAGTCTCTAGCAGCTCCTTTCATGTCCCAGGGTCCTCATTGGGCATGACCGGGAATAACGTTCTGATTTTTAAAAACTTATTTCTTTCAACTTTGGAATTTGCTCTTTTGTGGGGGGGCAAAATATGATCTACAAGAAAGTGTTTCAGAGGCCATAAGTGCCATGAATTCCATCTGGGGGTAGTGCAGGGCATTGCATTTCTTTTTTTTCACTGAGGGCCTTTGAGATAAAGCTACCCTGATCCCCATAGGTTTCTGTTTCTAGGGAGAGGGGCTGAGTGACAAATGAAAACGGGATGATGAGGGAGTTGATGGGGAGCGGGGAAGGGAGATCAAAAGAAGAGGGTGGGGGTTTCCAGCCTGTAGCTTCTGGCCCTGGCTGTGTTGGGATGCCATTGTTTGCAGGTCGGAGGAGCGACTTCTTAACCATCTGCTTTGCTTTTCCTATTTAATAGAACATTATGGTTTAAAATGTTCTAAATGGCTCGGTATCTTCTATAATCTCTTTGCAGTGAGTTTTAGCCTGTCTCTTTAAGTGATCATTTAAAGCTCTCTTTCTTTTTATTTTTATGATGGTTATAGCTTTGACAAAAAAGCAAAGCAAAAACCAGACATAAGCATGTTGAGAACAGGCACAAATTTGTATCCCCAGGAGGGAACCATGTTTTGGCTCAATCTTTTTTGCCCTTGCCTTGCTCCTTGTTTTATTGAATCTTTGCATGATCCTGTCTTTTGAAATAAGACACTATGTGCCACAGTTCTGGGTGGTTAGTGAGAGTGTGTCAGGGGGTTGGGGGCAGGAAAATGGGGGGAAGCAAATGCTTACACTCACTTTGGAGACATGCATTACCATTTTGCTCCAGTAAGTGGCAGCAGGCAACTACACTTCAGTTGTAGTCTGATTACAATCTGGAGAGATGTGATTTTCACTAGTGTTTCCTTTTCAGATATTTCTGAGGTGCTTGACATTCTGTTCAAATCTTAACTGAATCTGCGTTTAGTCTCTTTCTTGGAGAAACTAAGCAAAGCTATTTCCATTGCCTTATTAAAAAGGCCAGTGCGGTTCACTTGTGGCCTTGAAGGGTTTGCATAAGTAGTCAAGTTTGTCAGCTCTTAATAATAATACTGCCGTAGAAAAATAAGTACAGTTCAAAGCCTCTCGGCCTCTGTGTTTGGGGAACATAAAGTTGAGGCTCTGCCTCTGGTTTCGTGAAATTCAAGCTGACACAGCCTAATTTGAAAGCTATTCTGTTGTGTTCAAGCACCCTCATCCTGGTCCATTTCACTTCTGTAATTTTTGGTTGTTCAAAGGGTCCTAAAGATAAGATGTTTCAGAATCACTTTGACCGAGAATATAATTTGAATCTTAAATCTTTTTTATCACCTCTCTGTTCCCTGTTTCTGAAGGAGTTCGAAAAGAGGAAGATGCTATGAAAGAGAAAAGAAGTTCCCTAAACCTGTGGCGTGATTATGGAAATGTGCGGCAGCAGCGATTTGCTTCTCTTGTCCCTCACTGTCAGCCTGTGTACCTGTCGCTGCTTTGTCAGTAGCACGAAGTCAAAACAAGGTTCAGAATGTCCAATATCGGGATGTCTCCACCTCATCGTGTAACACACAGCCAGTAAACCTACCATTTGATTTGAATATGCTCTTGGAGCTTTTTATTGTTTCGACGAGGGGGGGCGGAGGGAGAGTGGGAGAAATGGAGGTGGGGGGGTGTTGTGCGGGTTTTAATGGGCTCTGCAGAGAACATTGTAACAAAACTCTGGACAGAACGAGGCTGTAAAAATGTCAGTATGGCAGTGGTCTAATGATCTCAGGCGTAGAGTGACTTCACTTCTCCTTTGAATCGGTTTTCCCACGTGTCTGTGTGCGGCACTATCTTGCAGGGCAGTTTGGAGGATTGGAGCGTGTAGTAAGGCAACTTAATTGTTGTCCACACCACCGGCCGCAGTGGCCCCAGCGGGATTCCAGGCAGAAGCTCACCTGTGCTTCAATTGAGAAATGGAAAGTTTTCAGTAATGCTGTGTTTTTCTGTGGTTCTGCAGAGGTTCTGTGTTTTTCTGTGGTTCTCTCCCCTTCCCCATCCAGAGCCTGCTTTTCTTTGCTTGAGATTTAAGACATCTGCTGCAAAAACCCCAGGAAAGCGGTTAGCCATTCTACTTTGGTTTAAAAGGGAGCTTGTTAACAAGAACCAATTCCAGTGGATATTCTCACATTGTGTAACTGCCCTGAAGGAAACAAACATTGTATTAGGGAGAAGCCCTGAAGAAAGACTGTTTGGGGAGGCCTTCCTGGGGAGGGGCTATGAGCTGGGACCTGGAGGCTGAGAAGGTACCAGCCACGCAGCAGGCCCAGGCAAAGGCAGGGAGAGGGGAAGAGCTCACTTTGAGGAGGTAAAGGAACGCTGGGTCTTTGGGGCAGTGAGCCCTGGGAGGGGCTGGAGGAGATTTTGGGGGGTTAGGGGGACAGAGGTGCTTTTGGAGCTCCCATGAGCATGCCCAGGCTGCTGAGGGCACAGATAGCAGGTGTCAGGCACAAAAAGATTCTGCCTGGACCACGGGACACAGGGTGATGGGCTTTGGGGCAGATAGTCTTTAGTTCCTGCTCACAGCTGTTTCCTCATCTTGAAAGTGGGGACAATGACCCCCATCCCACAGGTACCTCACAGGATGTATGAGGCTGCTCTTGGCATTGCTCATAAGCTGAACTTGCCTCCTGCTGTGCTGAGCTCAGCCCAGGCTGACACCCATCGCTAGGGAGGAAGGTACTTACTGTCTTAGTGGTTGGCACTCCCACCCCAAGGTCCCTACAAAGCAAACATATCCTTCTTTTGTCTAACTGAGGCTTTGTGACAGGAGCACAATTCAGATGAGGGGCAGGTGAACCTACCAGAAGAGATGCTTTTGAGGGTCCACTCCTGATTCCAGGCTGCTCTGGGCCTGGCTCAGCCCCCTGTCCTGTCCCCTGAACATCCATCCCAAGATAACACCTCTTGCCTCACAGCTCTGTTCCTGTTGCCTACCCCAGCAAACTCAGTGCCCTCTCGACCCTTTCTTCTCTCTCCCACCCCCATCCTCCCTCTCCCACACCTCTCTCCACCCCTCCCAGGGCCTTGTGAAACCACTCCCTCCTGGCCATCTCTCCCCTCTCCCCTCCCGCCGCCACCACCACCTCTGGTCCCAGCAGCTCAGACAGCAGCGGGAGAGATACTTGGTTCTGTTTTCTCTGATTTCATTTTTACAAAGCCAAGAATGAAAGTCCCGCTCATGACCCCAGTGCATTCTTTTTGGAAGTGGGGGGAGAGGGAGAATCTTAAGCAGTCTCCATGCCCAACGTGGAGCCCATGCGGGGCTCGATCTCATGACCCCGAGATCATGCCCTGAGCCGAAATCAGGAGTCAGACGCTTAACTGACTGAGCCACCCAGGTGCTCCCCCAATCCATTTTTTAAAAACTATTGTTACAGAAACTTTGAAGCACTTACAGAACAGTTATGATAAAATAAGGAACCCCTTCTACCCATCACCCAGCTTTGAAAATTATCAACATTCTGCTATTCTGCTATTGTCCTAGGATCTGTACCTCCAGTAACCCCTTACCCCCAGGACTCCCAGGGCTATTGTTACAGTTGTTTTGTGGAGGCAAAATGTACTTATGCTGAAATGGATCAATCTTAACCGAACACATCTGACAAATGGATGAAACTATGGTACCACATTCTTCTCAGGACACAGAACATTTCCATCCTCCCAGAAAGTTCCATTCTGGCCTACGCAATAGGTGTACGGTATTCATCTTAGATTAGTTGTGTCTGTCCTAGACATTTATATGAAGGGAGTCTTTTAGTTTGCCATCTTACATGTTGGCCTCTTTCAGTCAGCATAATTTCTGTGATGTTCACCGGGCCAGTGTGTGTGTCCGAAGTTCATTCCCACTTACTGCTGGCTTCTACTCCCTTGCATGGATTCTGCCACAATACGTTCCTTTTCCCTCTATTTTCTGAAATGGACCAGGGTGAAGAAATGTACCACCGATGAAGCTGAAGAAGTAAAATCAGAAGAGATCTTGAAGGCCAAGTGAAGACTTTTGCACTTTATTCCCCAGAGCAATGAAAGCTCTCGAAGAGTTTGAAGTGGCAGCATCTGCATTTTTGAGAATGCTTCCTGGCTCCTGTGTGGATGCAGGAGAGCACTCAGCAGTTTATTGCATTAATGCCGCTGAGGGCTGGTGGTTTCTTGGGCCAGAATGGTGGCAGGAGGGAGAGAAGAGGGTGGCTGCTCCGGTCTGAGAGATCTGTAAGGAGTGAACTGGACAGTACCTGGTGAGTCATTGGACTTAGGCGGGGAAGGATGAGAGATGAGACAGCCGGTCAGTTTCCAGCTTGAGCAGTGCGACAGCTGAGGCCCTGGCTTGATAGAAAAGGAGGAAACTCGAGAGGAAGTATTGAATTTGACATTTCCCTCAGGGTGACAAGGCCAAGTAAACCACGGTACATGCAAGTTCTGGGCACCCCGGCTTGTCTTTGTGTATGAGTCACAGAAGCGACAGGAGTGATGGTGAGCATCTAGGGAAAGAGAAGGAAAGGCCTGGGCCACCCCATCTCAGCATTTCCATGCCATCGGGACGTCAGACACTGAGATGGAGCTCAAACATAACTGCACGAAGAATGGTACAGCATGCCTTCTAGACAACATGGCCATAAACTAGAGGTCCTGTTTGATGCTAAATCCTCCTGTGCAGAGTTCAGACTCCCAAGACCGGTCGGGGAGTGGGAGCTCAGTGATCATCCCATGAGTGCAGTCCTTCCTGTCACACATCTTTATGAGAATTTTCAAGGGAAAATTGAGCTGATGACGTGAAGGTTCCAAATTTCCTTTGGAATCCGTGGATGGCAAATGCCAACTATGGCATGTAAGGGGGCACCTGGGAGGGCTTTATCATCCTGAACTGTGCTTTTGAGAGGAACAGAAACATTTTCTTGGAGCTATGAGGATTTAGCAGGCTTTGCCTCTGTTTTCAAAGTGACATTCGTCCTAAATGTTACATATTTGAATTGCAAGGCCTGGGCTGGGGAGTAGGGAGGTGAGGGGGCAGGGCCTTGTGGAGAATTTGGAAAGTGATGGGAAATCAGTACTGATATAACAGAAAGCAGTTGGGACATTTTTTTGTTTCCCAAGAGAAAGCTGAGCGGTAAATGGATGATAAGGTTAACTGGAAATGATGACCATTTATGACCCCAGATCCCTTGTTGAATCCAATGATTGGAGCCCTGGGCTTAAACTCTTCCCTGAGGCTTTCTTTCTTTCTTTTTTTTTTTTTGCATTTGTATTTTAATGTTAAGCTTTTGGAGAAGGAACTTTACAGGGAAATTGCAGAGTTCATTATACCCTTCCTCCTTGAAGCCAGTCTATCCTATGCAAGCAGCTCATACCTGCTGGCTAGAAAGTTGAGCATGATTCCAATTGGCAAGCCTCTTGGCAGCCCTTTTGCTTGTTTCAGACCAGGTTGGTTCATTTGGTTCTGTCTTCTCCGGGTCCTGACCTTCTGGCCCTGCATCTCCTACCTTGATTCCTGGTTTTCTCCCGGACTGGGCATTAGAACGTGTTCTCTCATGTATTTGAACTTTGGTTCCCCTCAGTGGATTTTGGCTTGGACATCCCATTGGCTTTTAGCACTCTGCACCCTGGGTGGTCCCTGGGAGGTGGCTGACAGATGGCACATTCAAAAGTGAAGTGCCCTGGGATCAGAAAGAGCGAGAAGCCATTACCACATTTACGCCTGAATTAGCAAGGAGAGGAAGCTGTTTTCCCAAGGTGAGACCAGTAGCTCTGTGAGAGGGCTCCAGGCAGGTGCTGTGGCCCTGAGGAGGGGATCCCAAACCACTGCCTAGGTCAAGACCTGACATGGTAGACGTGAGGGGAAAGAATGTCCTGATCTCACACCCCTCCTGTCCTCTCTCTCCTGCCAGTACGAGGCCTGGCTCCACCCACCTGGAAGGCAGGGGTGGGCAAGCCCAGATGATGCCATGCAAAGTGCAGCCTCCTGAGGGCACAGAGCGGAGCTGAGCAGGGCAGATGGAGAAGGGACACGGAGGGGGTCCATGGAGAATCACGGTTTTACCCACCCCGGCTTCACACTGGGACAATATCCCAGCCCAGGCAGCAGCAAGTCCATTTTGGCGGGAAATTGACGTCAGATACAGTAGCAGATCAGCATGGGCACGTTTGGGGCAACACCCGACAGCCCCAGGGAAACCGTTAGTGGAATTTTGCATTTTACCCTAAGTAGTATTCCCCAGGGAAAAATTGTTTGTTTGCTCTCTAAAGTGTGGGAAGATAAAGGGGCATTTTGGGTGGGTAGACCATGATATTGGGTTTGGTGAGTGTCCCATGAGACACGTGAAGCAAGCTTTCGGATGTTCAAGGAAGGGAGGCTGTAGGTGCAGATGAGCACCCTGGGGCCTGGGAGGTGAAGGGCCTGGGACCCGGGACGGGAGAGGACAGGAAGCTGGGCCAATGCAGTGTCTGCAGAGAGTCCAGGACTCCTGCTCTGTGGTTTTCCAGAGTCTGGAAGCAACGGTGCAGTCGTGAGCTCCTTGGTCCCAGGCTGCTCTCTGGCTGGTTCGCCGGAAATCACCTGGCA